GATCCCTCTTCCTTTCTGAGCTAGCAGTCAGTGAAATAACTCCAGTGAATGGATCAGAGGTAATGGGTACACAGAGGTACCAGTAGTGTAAGGGACCTGAATTGCTTTTTTGTTGAGAGATCTGTTAGTGAACTGAACATGGCCCTGGCCTGGGCAACCTCAGATGTGGTTCTTGAAAGAGAAGGGGAATTACGGTGGCTGGCAATAAAATGTATTTAGGCTGACATTAGAGTCATTCACAACAACTTGTTTGCATGGTCCTTCACAGTTCCTGGTTTTCATATTGACCATCTCAAACACTTGGGTAAGGTAAAGGAAATACTAAATTGGTTTCTTAGAAAACCTGAGAACTTAATCATAAGAAGGTATAGGGAGAAAGTACATTGGGCTGGTCATATTTAGTAGGTCAAATTTCAAGGAAAATCTTTGGGGTTTTGTTTGTTCCTTTTTCACACAATGAAAAAGACTGGCTAGATGCTTTCTGGTGCCCTTCTAGTGGTGACCCTCCTCAGGAAGCAGCAAGATGCAGTAGCTAAGAACCAGATGGTTTCCAACCCATTATCAGCTGCGGCTTTGGGGGAATGACTTAATTCTTTGGTCCTCAATTTCCCCATGCCCACCACATTGTATGCTAACGATGGTGCATAGTTCACAGCATTGTTGTAAGGATGAACTGAGTTAATATAAATACATGCATAATGGAGGTCCTGGTGTGTGTAAAAGTGCTAGACGAGCATTTATGATGTGTGTTTTGTGACTGCTCAGAAGCATAGGGATTCTGTTCAAATCCTTTGCAAGGCACTAGTCTTGTCCATTCTACACTGTGTGTTTTCTTTAGGAATCTCTGAAGCCAGGAGATCTTGATGGGTGTCCTACATAATGCCATTTCTCTGTGTTGTCTGCCAATGAAAGGTTTTTGTGAATGAAATAAGGGAGTCCCATCATGGGTATCACTGGAGGCTGATGCCCCTCATAGCTGTGCTGGAAGTACAAACTGTTCTTTCACTTGAATTTTTTGGGAAAAAAATGATTTTAAGCAATTTCTATTTGTGGCTATTTTCTTTTGGAAATAGTACAGCAATAGCTCAAAGCTATAAAACAGGAGGAACATTTATTAATTGATTGATTAACCAATCTGTCAGCAAGCATTTATGTGATGCTTCCTATGTGCTTAGCATCATGCCAACTGCTCCCTTGAGAAATCAAAGAAATAAAGGACAACATCCTGAACCTCAAGTTAGGGTCCCCAGATGACTAATTGGGGAATGATTATAAAATGATGGCTGGATTTAGATGCAGACATCAAAATCTTCCAAGCAGAATTTTAGTAGCTATCAGTGACATTTCCTGTTTTGGGAAATGAGTGAGGAAGTTCAACATAGCCCTAATTTTTATTATTTTCTGATATGAGAGGCAATAAGAAATTATCTGTGTCTATGAAAGGACTGCAAGGAAAGGGAGAACTGAGATTTTCCTGACAGTGAGATGACTGGGCAACAGTTTTAGGGAGACTATCTGACTAATGCCAACATCCATATCAGTATATCCGGAGAATATAAGAAGAATAAGGTGTATGGCCAATAAAATGAAGCCTGAAGGGTAAATTCAAGAGTTAATGACATAGCACCCACACAGCAACAGATAGAATACCCAGCAGCAGCAAGTCGAGAGTTTGATGTTACAGTCAATTGGGTGGAAGGGTCAGAAGCAGGAAGAGTCCAAGAGGATTCTAAGGCTTCCTGTAATAAATCAAACTTCAGCATTTGTGCCTTCCACAGAGGAGGAAAGTATCAAGGATGGAATCATTGGCTTTGCAATCACATCACCTTGGGATTCAGTCTGGCTCCACCGTTCACTAACTGAATGACTTTGGCAAGTTTTGAAACACCTCCTTCAGTTTTCTCAGCTTGTGAGATGAGAAATATCCCTGTTTTACAACATTACTGCAGAGCTTGCAGGGTAGCAGGTTGTGAAGGTAGCGGCGACACTCTGCCTTAGAGCATCTGAGCACCCCATCAACACTGGTGTGTATTAACTGAGCATCTGTTAAATGTGTACACTGTAATAGATGTAAGGGTTTAAAGAGGAAATGGGCATGGCTTCTGTCATGATGACACCACAGGTAGACATTGTGTCCTATGCAGAAAGAATTGTGCTCAATATTTCCTTTCAGTCTTCTCCAGATGAACTAAAATGACTCCCTTTTTTATGAGGGCCGAGGAAGAGCTGCAGAGTTACACAACTGTGTTTCCCTTCATAGTCTACCTGTGCCTCATCATGAGGGAAAGCAAGTTACTGTCAGGAAATAGACTGGGTATGCAGAATCACCTACGGCCCTGGTTAGCATGGTACCATCCTTTCCCACATCTCAAAGACCCTATTTCTTTCCCCTTATCTCCTTCATGACCTAATCAAGGCCATGACTCCAGAAAACATTGAAATTTCTTTATCACCATCATATAGGCCTTGAGTATATACCGTAGCATCCCCCAATCTCCTTGACTACAGATAAGTGAGCACTGTGTTAGGATGCTTCTTGTATTTGAAATCTGTCTACATCACTTGAATTTGTTCCATTATTGGAGGAGAGCTAAAGGTGCTCAGGAAAATGAGGTCACTTTTCTCTGCATTTTTTCTTGCACATCAACATCAGTTCCTCCACATATCTTGGTCGCTGATGTGTTCTGAGTGAGAGGAGAGGTACAGAGAACACCTATTTACTCACATAGGCCACCTTGTCCTTGGACTTGGAGCCTCCAGACAGACCCAGAACCTGGAGGATAGCTAGGCCACAAGGACTTCCCCAGGTTTCCTGACCAGGAAGAGGCAGACTTCTTTTACTCTTCTAGGAGGGTGTCCAGCCAGCAGTAATTTTCTGGGTCATGGAGGTCAAGTCTACTGGTTTTGCAACAGAAACAGACAAGGAGCAAGTCTCTTAAGTTCTGCAACAGATTTGCATTAATGCAACACAAGCCCTTGGGGAAGAATTCTCCAGGTGAAACGGACTTGCAAAGCAAGGAAGGAAACATCTGTACACTTGGCTACAAGTCTTAGTTTGAGAATACAGAGAGATTTTTGAGAGAAAGACATTTTGCAGTATTTTGTGTTGGGCCTGCTATCTGGACCTTTGCACTTTCTTATTTTCGTCGTCCAGTCTTTTTTTCGAATGGGATTAGGCCAGTTGTGCAAATTGATATCTTTTCCAGGCACATTCCTATGAACTGGTTGCATTTCAACAGAAGGCATGTTTGGGGTGAAAACAGAGCCTTGTCATCTGTGATGCCTGATGATGCCCAGATCCCTAAGCTCACAAGTACAGAAGCACCTGCACACTCCCGGCCAGCTCCCAAACCTCCTGGTTCTCATTCATTGCCTTGTAGAACAAGTTAACCACCTTTTCTACTCGAACTAAAGTTCAATCTATCGTTACAGTGAGTTTTCTTTCTCCCACACATAAATCAGTTTTGATTAAAACAAGAACAATACAAAATTCATTTGTGAAAGTTCTTGCAAGGCCAGCAACGGATGAGGAGTCACAGCAGCAGAAGGAGCAGGGGACCCTCTGTTTAAGGAAGTCACTGTCCTAGCCCACAGCCAAGAGGCACAAGGTGCAGATCCAGGCCTCTGCACACAGCAGATGACCCTCTGTGTTATGGCCTTCATGGTTGTTCACAAATATTCCAAGTTGAGAAATATGGTCTAGAAGGACCTCAGGCATCGGTCCTGTCTGTGCTTCATTCTTAGCACCCTCAGCCCATCGGTTTCATGGCACAAGTTGGAGTGACCTTCAGTGAACCTCTTGGCAGAAGCAGAAGCAGAAGCAGACTAGCAACACTAAAAGTGAATTTTCCCTTAAGGCAGTCTCTCCCACTCTCTAACCCTTGGAAAACAATAAAGGATGCTTATAAATGTGACCCCAGGTCTTCTGATGAGCCAAGGAGAGCTTAGCCTCATATAGCTGCTGATAGTTTATGTCAACCTATTTTCCAATTAGACTTGAATCAATGCTCAATGAAATATTCAATGGAATAGGGTGTTGTAAAGCAAAATAGGTGAGCAAAAACCCTAGAGAGGAAAGAAGAAAAGCTTATCAAAAGCCTACACAGATCTTAGTACTGTGATGGAATATTGTCTTTATTTCAAAGTTTTCTGGAAGCAAAAGTTAGAAGGATAAAGAATCAACATATCACCTTTCTAGGGAGGCATATGTTCTCTTAGTAAAACCCTAAATAAAAAAAATAAAAATACTTAGTTGCAAATTTTATCTCCAGAAAAATAAAAATAGTGATTATCATTAGGTTATGGGAGAATGAGGAATGGGTAGATATATAGATGGATTAAAAATGGAAGGATTTTGGTGACTGCTACAGTTAGGTTAAGAGGTCCAACCATGTGGGGATTCTCTGCAGTATTCTACGAATGTAGTATAGATTACAAAATTTCCATAATAAAATATTTTTTTAAACAATGAAAGGTATTTTGTAAACACAGAAGTTAAGCTAATGTGTTGTCTAAGAAAGGATGAGGGGCTGGAGAGATGGCTCAGGGGTTAAGAGCACTGGCTGCTCTTTCAGAGGACCTGGATTCGGTCCCCAGCACCCACATGGTGGCTAAAAATCATCCCTAACTCCAGTTCCAGGGAATCCAATGCTCTCTTCTGATCTCTGGGGGCATTGCATGACATGGGTGCAAGTACATACACATAGGCAATACACTCATATATATATATATATATATATATATATATATATAATAAAACTAATAAAATAAAAAAGGATGAATTCCACTTGATGAAATTTCAAGTAGATATAACTTTATTCTGGAATTCTTTGAGAATTGATGATCTGGGTTATGGTACACTTGATAAGTATTCAGAATCCCTTCCTAGGCCCTGCAGACTTTTCTATTTGAGTGTGTATATTCCCAACTAAACACAGTTATTGATGTATCCAAGACAGCAGGCTACCGTGGAGGGAGAGGGGAAAGCCAGATTCTGGTACCTTCACTGCAGTTCCTCAGGGCAAAGAAGTCCACTGCAGACAAGCTTCGGTTTCCACTGGAGATGTATTCCAGGGCCACTCGGAATGGATTCTCTGGGCGCCCGATCCTTCCCTGCAGCACTGTCCAGCTGGTTGCATTGGGAAGGGAGGAGAAAGCACAGGAAAACAGTGATGAGAAGCAAGTCTAACCTGCAGAGAGGGTCATGCCTCTGTGGCCAGTTCAGGGCTCACATTCTTCATCGGTACCAGGAGATGGAACCCCAAGTGGTACTGAGGACGGCAACCCTGAGGACGACATGTAAACATTTGTTTTTTTCTTGTCCAATGAACTCAGAAAGATAATTCTCAAACTCACTCTAGCCACTGGCATTTCTAGGCAATTGTAAATCTCTGAGCTATTTCAGTAGCTAGTCTCATAACTGAGAACACTTGACAGCAGAGTCAAGAAAAAGTCTCCCTAATTCACCAGTCTGCTCATGGTTATCTCTGAAAAGAATACATGGCTTTGGGATGTTATCTGGTACCAAAATCTCAGATCCTCAGGTTTATTATGTAGTTACTTATAGGAAGCTAGTGAGAACTATTTATTTACTGCAACAAAATTAAAGAGCACTGAAGCATGTACTTTGGGGTAAAAGGTATCTAAGATTGACGTGGACTTTCAAGAAAGAGCAAACAGAAGAAGATGGAGGCAGGTCAAATGGTGAGCTCTGCATCCATCTATAATCACAGACACCGACACTGTCAGAGAATGGAGGATAAGCTAAAGGAACATTTTTACACCTTGCCCAGGCTATTAACCTCTTGGAATAGCCTCCTGTCACTGATTGGAGCATCCAATTTACTTTTCAACATTGATTCAGATATATTATCACACACACACACACACACACACACATATATATTATATATATAGGGAGAGGGGAGAGAGAGGAGAGTGTGTACATATATTTGCATATTAATTTTTTTTCTATGAAAAATGGAAATAACCTGGATTATTTAATATTTTCTTTCTTTAAAACCCAATTTTACTGAGGTATAATTAGCACATTATAAATTGCACGCACTGAAAGCATACAATTTAATTAATTAAGCTGTATAACTTAGAGGGTTTTGACTTGGGTATATAACCATGAAATCATTATACTATTCCATGTTTTCCTACCACTAGGTTAGACTTAAGTATGGTAATATAAAAGGCAAGGAATTCAGGAAAAAAATCTGTAGATTTTTGTTTGAAAAACTTTTAACTATTCATCTCAAATATAAATATGTTCACTGTAAAAAAAAATTAAAAATTAAGCCACTAACAATTCAAAAAAGTCAGTGAAACAAAATAACTCTGAGCCTCCATTGTCTGGAGATAGCCACAGTCACTACCTCAGTGAGCAGCCGCAGCTATAATTTGACGTAAATGACAGCACACTACAGGTGTCTCTCTGTGATTGCACTTTCCCACTCAGTGCATGTCGGGAGACAATAAATACAGATGATATTATCATCTCATTGATTGCATTTTTAACGATGTGAGCATTACTTCTGTTTCTTCTCTGTCATGATCACGCTGAAATTTACTCTGTAGTTATCCAAATTCCACCTTAGGACAGAGTCAAAGTGTGCAATCCCAGTCAAAGCATGTGCCTATTTAAAATTGAAGTGAGCCTGAGGGCCCACTGCACATTGACTTGCTAATATCCTTCCCATCTCCATCTTATCCTTTCTTTTCTGCCTTTGGGGTGTGTGTGTGTGTGTGTGTGTGTGTGTGTGTGTGTGTGTGTACACATGTGTTGGGGTTAGAGGCTGACACTGAGTGTCTTCCTCAATTGTTTCCCACTTTAGGTTTTGAGATAGGTTTCTCACTAAACCAAGAGTTGGGCCTTTCAGCTAGATTGGCTGGCCAGTACTCTGGGGATCTGCCTGTCTCTGCTGCTCAGCACTGGGTCTGCAGCCCTATGACATCTCCCACTACCTCCCAGCATTTACCTGCTTGTTGGGATCCAAGCTTAGGTCCTCATGCTTGTGTGGCAGGCACTTTGCCAACTGAACCATCTCCCCAGCCCTGTCTTTGCTAACTTTTGGTGATGAAGGTGTTGCCTAAGGCAACACTGATGGCTCTCAAAGGGGTCTCCTGAGTGCAGTTTAATGTCTTGGGTCCCTGCTGGGCAGGGTTGCTAGGCATAAAGTAGACGTATGTTGAACGAAGCAGAGACTTTTGTTCCCTCTCTGTGCTCCTCTGTAGTTAATTCAGATCACTGGAGTCAAGTCTTCAACCATTTAATAAAAGTGTATTAAGTTTCCCCACAATAGATGCTGTAGAAGGGATTATTGCTGCTGTAAAGTTTGCTCTCTGTTACGGTACCCAGCAGGATTCCTATCCAAAATAAAACCCGTGCAATTGAATAAGGAAAAAGAGGCTTTTCGGTTTAAATGTGGGGCTGTCAAAGAAAGAAATATTTGAAAAGAAAATGTAACGAGGGGTTCTTAAGGAAAAGAAAAACAAATGAGCAAAGAATGCAGAATTTGTCATGTTCTTCTGAAGCATAAAGGACCCTATTTTTGAGGAAAGACGGTCGTGAAAGGTGCGAGTATTCATATTCTGCCCCAATCACAGCTCTCCACTCTGAGGAATGATGGATTTTAATTCCAGGTACACAGTGGCCCTTGAAAATGATTTCCATTTCTATACTGGCACTCGCCCTCTGGATAAATGTGTCAGGAGTTTTAGGAATTAGTTTCTGAGTTACCGATGCAATAACTTTTGTCTGAAATTCTCTGGCCTCTCATAGTTTACTGCTGCAACTTTAATAACTTTCAGAGCAGTTGCCAAACATGTATTTTATATCCAGGGAAGCTGGGACTAGGAAAGGGCAAGCTTATACCTAGGGTCAGATTTGTTTAAGAGACAGCCAGAAAACCCAGTGAAAACAGCTGTGCGCCCTCTTCTCTCCACGTTTCCATCTTCTTTGCTTGCATCCCAGTGGTCACAGAACTGGCTCATTAGGGTTCTGCTTTCCTTGTTTTGGCTGTTGGCAGCTCAATTTATGCTCAAAAGGGGAAAGGTTGTGTTCTGACCTAGAACCTTCTAGAAATACAAGTGCAACTATATCCATGTGTTGGGGATTGGAGACATTCTAGCACTAGTGTTTCAATCAATCAATCTGACAGTGTGGGCGTCCACCTGGATTTTAGAAAGCCAGAAGGATTGTATGGACAGCCTGTCACAATCCATTATCTCCCACCTGTCTCTCTGGAGTGCTCCAGTCCCCATTCTTCCTCTGCCTCTCATTTGCCTGACGACTTTGAACAACGCACTTTTCTGAAAATGCCTGAAATTTTGGATGTTTTTTGAGTAATTGTATTCTCAAGTAGAGAAAGAGTCTCCAATTTTGCATGACTTTTTGAGGCAAGCCCTGATCACCCACTTTTCCTTAGTTATCACACCATAATGAATAGAATCTATAAAAATGCCTCAAAACCAGCCAGTCAACCAACCAAGGAGCAAGACAAACAAAAAACACAAGAGGGCCGCTTTGTGAGTACCAATGTCTGTTTCTGACCTGGAGGAAACTGAGAAGGGAGTCTTTGATTCTCGTCTCGGGTTTACTTGAACTTGAATAGTCCCTGTATGCCCTTGGATTTAAGTTTCTTCATTAACAAAATGTAGGTATTGAGCCAAAAGTTCTTTAAAGGCCTTGTTTGACTGGTGCTTATACACATCTCTAACGTATTACAGGATTACAGGATGTTGTGACCAAACATTTTATGAAAACCCAAGAAGTTGCATTTAACACATGATATCTGATAGAGTTGGTCTTCAAACCACAGATCTATTTATACAAAGAGGCTCTTTATCATATTTATAGAGAAATGGAGACTTGGTCAAGGTCATACATTGGGTTAGCTACAAGTGAAATATAGTAGTGCTCCTGGGTCCTGAGAACAAGAGGCCAAATAACCTGTGGATCAGTCTGTCTAGTCAACTGCATTTCCATCACTAAAATCACAGAGACAGAGAAAGATATATCTACTTGGCATTGCTAGAGGGATCATCATTATGAATTTTTGAGTCTAGACACTCTGTCAGACAGTGGGATATACCGTCAAGAAATCCACAGAAAAATCCTATGAAGATCTGATATGGAAGTGGAAAGAATTTCTCAGATTCTCACTGTGCCCAACCAGGCTAGTCCCTACATGTTTAAAGGAAACTGTCTGGCACATTTTCTGAGAGGCAAGCTACTACTGAGACTGAAGAGTTGGCAGCCATAGATCAGAAGGGGGAAGGCACCAAGGTATTTTATATCAGGAATGGAGGGGTATATTATGACAACAAGTGACAGTCATGGATGGCTGTTAACATGACATCCTTTGTTGCTGTGCAATGTTCCAACAAGCACGACACTGATGCCAGGCTGCATCACAAGAGCAAGCTCTCAAGTCCTCAAGTAAGCTATTCACTGGTATGCCTTTCTGAGATGGTTTTGACTGCTTAATGTGGGTGGAAGGGCCTAGACTCAGTTCTCAGCATCATGTCACCATCTACTAGCTATACCCCCTTAGGGAAATCAATGAACATATGTGGCTTCAGTTTCCTTATTTTTAAGATAGAACTCATACAGTAAATTCAAGGTCAGCCTGGGCTATATATAAAGATCCTATTTCTCCCAAAACCAACCAACCAACAAAACAAACAACAAACAAACAAACAACAAACCCTAAAACAACTAAGAGAAGATGGAGGCCATAATGTCTGTCTTGCTAGATTGTGGTGAGCTTCTATGAGAAGGACTCAAGCAAAGAAACAAGAACAGTTCTGAGCACAGTTCAGAAGGGCCTCAAAAAGAGTTTTATTCTTTTTCTTTGAGACAGAATTTCACTGTGTAGCCCTGACTGGCCTAGAACTCACTATGTAAATCAAGCTGACCTCATATTCACAGAGATTCACCTGCCTCTGCCTCTTGATTGCTGGGATTAAAGGCATGCACCACCATGCTGGGCTAGCAAGAGATTCATTTTTACAGAAGCCCACAGCTTTCCTTATGAAACCATAATGGTCCATGCAAATATTCATAGCTGAGTTCATTTATGAGATTCGAGGGGAAAGAAAGGTACGTAAGAGAGCACATGA